TGAAATATCGCGATATTTCAGTGTATCGATATTTTCTTACACCCCTAATCATTAAGAAGTGATGGAATAAGCTTACAGGAGAAGAGGTGGGATAATATAAGTTTTCTTCTGCCCACACTTCTCAGTGTATGAAAACTGTATATTTGTAATGTTTCTGTTAGCATCTGTTCAGTAAAACTTAACAAGAAGAAAGAGAACTTCAGCTAAAACATTCCTTCACTGTGAATTACATTGATTTTTCTAAAATTTATAAATAATATTAGTAAGAAAACTAAAGGATTTAGTTAGACTGTCATCTTTCACACATTTATACATGCAGACAACAGTTTCAGTCAGATGTTTACATACAGGAGTTTTGGTTCGTTTCCTGCTGCTTTACAAACAGAAGTAGTCATGGCCTCTGTTATCTTTAAGTCCTGCTGAGAATCAGCTGTAATATTAACTAACTAAACAAAATAAACTCATGAATCACTAACATTAGCGCTGAACGTCAACCGGATGTAAACCCTACAGCTTCATCACACCACACCCACGAGGAAAAAATCTGAAYAGATTTTCTCAAATTTGAACGAAAATCGATCCAGATCGATTAAATTTATTTATTTATTTTTAACGCAGCCCWGTGATTTACTGACCTTTAAATGCAGATGTTTGGTTTGTTCCAGGTGAGCTCATCAGAGGTTCTGGGTCAGAGCAGCTCCTCCTCCAGCTTCACAGATTAATTGTTTTCCTGACATCTCTGTCCACAGGAGACGCTGCCAGCGTTTCTCCACAGGGCGCCGTCATGTCTCACAACTACCCGTACAGACAGGTGCCGGCCGACCCGCGGTCTGACCTGCGGTCCGACCCGCGGTCCGACCCGCGGGCGTACAGCTCTGCAGGCRGCGCCGACTTTTACGGACGCCCCCGGGACTTGTTCCCCTCGTCCTCCAGTAGTTCTGCAGGGCCTCAGAGTCCTCAGGACAGTGTCCTCAGCCTCCTGTCCAGCTGTGGACTGGACCCTGAAGACCTGGCGGTCCTGGCCAAGCTTCCTGAGGACGTGCTGACCGTGGACTCTCTGCCACACCTCATCAACCAGATCAAAGGCAAGAAGGGGACYGTCAAGCCTTTTGTTCCCAGACCTCTCCCCGTCGCTCCTCCCTCCTCCCACTCCTTCAGCTCCGCCCACAGACCCTCTGCAAGCTCCACCCACAGACCGTCTGCAAGCTCCGCCCACAGGCCTTCTACAAGCTCCGCCCACAGGCCTTCTGCAAGCTCCTCCTCCTTAGACTGGGACAAGCTCCGCAGGCAGCCGGTACAGTACCCACTGCACATGATTTCATCCTCCACCACTCCGTCTGACCTCCATTCGGACCCTTGGGGGTCTCCGAGCTCTGTCAGGTCTTCATCGGTCCAACCCGTGCAGGACACTGACCTCAGGCCACGCCTCTCAGACTATGGTAAGGCCGCTTCTTCTTGCAGCTCAGTGGAACTCAAGCGGAGTCGTTCCTCTCACTTCTCGGAGCCCAGATCAGCAGATTACAGATCAGCCCCCCCTCCTGACGAGCGCCGCCGCCGCTCGGGGTCGGCCGGGGTCAGGGAGCCGGAGGGACCAGTCCCTTCTAAGCAACAGGGTCTGGACTTCCACGGATCGATGCCGCCGGTGTACCCGTACTCGTGCTCGCTGTGTGACATCACCGTGCTCTCGGAGAAGGTAAGTTCACCTGGTGGTCTGCAGGTGAGTGGGGGGGGGGGGGTCCTGGTAGGAGGCGACGTCTGCCAGAAGCTCAGAGGTGACCTCACTTCCTGTTTGCCTTACAGGTTTGGCTCGAGCACATCAACGGGAGCGTTCACGCAGACGGACAGCTCAAGCTGCTGCAGCAGTGAGACACGCACACACACACATCACACACACACACATCACACACACACA